AAATTGTGTCTCTTTCTGTCACCATGTTCTCAGGAGACCACTGATGAGCTTCAGAGCAGCCAGAAGGAAGACCCAGCCTGATCCCTCTCCTGGGGACCCTGCTGCCACTCGTTGCCCCCAGGGGCCTTGAGCAACTCTGCCCCGCCTGAGGCTCAGCATCTTTGGTGCCCTGCAGCCAGCTCAACATGGCCAGGTGCTGGAGGGCCAATGCTCCCAGGGAGGAGCTGGGGCAAGGGTGTGAAGGCCCTGGTGCAGCTCCCTGCTCAGCATTTAACCCTGAGTGTGGGCCATGGACCGCCTATTCTTCTGGGGCCTTTCGTGCTGAGCCACATCTGCAGCCCTTTTGGATTTTTTTTTTTTTTTTTTTTTTTTTTTTTTTTGAGACAGGATCTCACTAAATCCAGGCTGGGTTGCAATTGGCCATCCTCCTGCCTCAGTCTCTCTGAGTGCTGGGATTACCAGGCCTCTGGGTCAAACATTTTTAGATGAAAGTTTCAGGAGAGTTAGGTGTATCCAGCTGCAGTGCTAGGGTTCCCTGGTCCATCGGCAGAACTTGATTCGGCTTGCAGGCTGGAAACTCCGTCCCCTTCTCAGCCTCTGAGAATCATCCCTGCTTCTATCACTGTGAGGTCAGCAGCCCTTGACCGGGGACAGGAGCGCCATGGGTTGTTCGAGTCGGATTACTCACTGCCATGACCCCCTGAGTGCTTCCCATGCTGTGCAAGATGTCAGAGCCCATCTCCCTTTGAAGGGTACAGCCCTATGTGGTGCACTCACCAAACCTGCCTCCCCGTCCTTCGGTCAACGGTCATGAGACAGAGACCCACTAACATGGTCCTGGACTCTGTGTCCAGCCTCGGACAGGGCCACACATGGGCTTCTCAAAATACGTGTTCTGTAAAGCAGAAAGGAAACTGGGCAGTGGTGCGACACATACATGTTACCTGTAGGTTTACATGTGAGCTGCGGATGGGAAGGTGTGGGAGATGTTCCGTCCTGCTGTTCAAGAGCACAGCAAAGCTCCCACGCAAACTGACTCCCAGGTCCTGGGTAGCCAGAGATTGTTGTCCCCAGTTATTCCCTGCTGGGTGTGGGTGCTGTGGAGACCCTTGTGTGTTGCCCAGGGTGCCCTAGGGCCCACAGCACTCAGAGAGGTGGCGGGAGTGTGCTGTGCACAGCCAGTGGGTACTGTGAGGCTTTCAGAGAGCAGAGGACCTAGCCCCGGGAGCAGGGGTGATGCACGTGAGGCTGAAGTCCGTGCAGACCTCCAGACTCAAGGCATGGCTGTCCATCCCCAGCCCCAGGGGTACAGAGATGCTGTGTCACTGAGTCTGCAGGGCCAGCCAGCAGGAGCGCACAGGTGGTTTCCAGAAATGTACTTCCTGCATGCAAAATGCTTTGTTTTGAGAAATTGTCGCTCATTTCCTGTAAGTGTGGGCACATTCATGCACTCACACCTTGCACACAGGAACCCCACACTCCACACACTCCTCACCCCTGGCCTCGCTGCCCACTGAGCTGTGGTTTGGATCACAGTCCCCAGCCCTGCCACACGTGCTGTGGGACACTGTGTGCATGGGGAGCTCGAGGATCAGGGGTGGGAGGAAGGGGCCGGCAAAATGGAGGCTGCTGTGGGGAGCAGGCTGCAGCCTCCTGACTGTGCCACCCCAGTGGTGGGGGCCCAACCCCTCCCCAGTGGGCAGAGATGAAATGGTGCGGCAAGGTGACTCCTGTGCCTGGGGACAAAAGGTTCATTGGATAACAGCCCTCTCCAGCCCCTTGGTCCTGTGTGCGGCAGAGCTGGCTGCGTACACGCGTGGGTCAGTGGCCGCCTCCTGCCTGGCTGTGTGCTCATTCATTGCCCTCAGAACCCTCTCCTGCTCTGCACACACCTGTCCCCTCACTCCCCCGCTTTCTGTCGCAACTCCAGAGCCCTCTTTCCTGAGTGTCTTTAGCTGTGCCACCCTGGCCGCTCCAGTGTCATGAATCGATTTAAAATGTTCCTCTTTCGTGGTCATTTTGGCCTTGGGGAAGAGCAGGAGCTGCAGTGTCTGATCCAGAGGATGAGACAGGTGAGGACACAGCCTCATTCTGTTTTCCTTAGACATACTGGGCAGGCAGTGGCACAAGACCCTCAGGAAAGAGGACTCCAGAGCTGCTACAGAAGGCAATCAGGACGATGGACGAGGGTCTGAAGTGAGGGGACGACCTTGAGGGGGTACACAGCGATGTGTCTTACTCTAACACTTTTTAAGTTTAAGCACATTTTTTTTTATCAACCCTAGTATGTATTTATTTCATAAAAATTGCCTGACAAACACATTGTTTTTTTCTGATAGTACTTTTGAGCAGTAACACAGGACTGGTACCTTGATTAATGAAAGATTCCATAACCTGCATCTTATCTTGTTTTTAATTCTAAGACAGGCTGAGTCTGTCTTTCCTGCTAGAGACCGAATGACACTGTAGTTAAAATTTAGGGTTCTGAAGTTAAATTCCCTGGATTTGATGTGAACTCTGCCTGTCTCTGACGTAGCAAACATGCACCCCACATTTCTTAGCTGCAATTCACGGAGGGTGATGCTGTCAAGAGGAATCCATGAGCAAATGCATAGCCAGTCCTTCCAGTAGTGGACTGTGTGTCAACTGTGTTGATTTTAGTTTTACAAAATGAAAGGAAGGACGTACATGATGGGTAAGGGAATAGCATAAGCTTAGAAATACCAGGGTAGAGTCCTAAGTCTTGCAACAAGAAATCAGAAGGGAATGCTTTACCCAGCAGAGGAGTGTCACTCCCATCTCCATCTCATGTTGACCGGGCAGATAAGCTCCCTGCTTCTTCCGTCTCTGGTTCCCTGGGCATCCTTGTTTCTAAATGATGTCTTTCATTTCAAAGCAGTGCATGTGCAGATGATACTGGAGGAAAAAATCAAGAAATGTGTGTCGCCTCAGCAGTGCTTCACTGATTTTCCAGTCTGTTTCACGATCTGTTGCTGTCATGTGGGCCTCTTTCTAAAAATGACATTTTCCTAAGCAAATCACATTTTGGAGCTTGTTTTTCCAAAAATCTGTTGAGTATTTTTGCTCATCGAATTACATAACTTTAAACACATAGAGCTCGTGCCAATATAACATTATGCTGTCATGGATTGATGTTGTCTTTCAGTGATACCTAATTAGATAATTTATGTGGTGTATTTACTTACTGACCTTTGGCAGCTTTTTGATGTGAATTTGCCAACCATTGTCTGCCACAATGAGCATCTCAGAACTTCTCGGAGTGCAGCCTGAGGTGTTGTGTCTCTGGGAAATCCTTATAGAGAGACAATCTTCCTGTCTGCACCTCACGCCTCAGCCAGGGCAGGCAGGGAGGTGGGCAGAGCCCAGCCTGGACCTGGGGCATCGCTGGGATCCAGTTTCTGTGTCCAAAGGACATGAAGTTAGAGCAGAGCTCCAGAGCCCTGTGACCCTTGGGCATCCCAAGGCAGAGCAGAGCCCACGAAGGCTGCAGGTAACTGCCGATAGGGCGCTCCTTAGAGAAACAGGGTCCTGCAAGCACAATGCTTCCTGGCAAGCAGCAGGTGCTGGGCAGGTACCGGCTGGTGTGATAAAACGCCCAGGATCTCTGTAAAACAAGGTCCTTAGATAAATGAACGTAGATCCATATGCACTCATGTATATCTGTTACATATGTATAGGTTTATACACACACAAGCATATACATAGACATGTATATGCATACAGAAATACATATTATACAGTCTGTATATAAAATAAACCCACACAGAATGTAGCATTGCTTGTCTTCCTTTACTGATCTGGAAGAAACAAGAACCTGGGAGGATCCCCATCAAGGGGCGGGATGGGAGGGTGTCACACTCTCCTACAAGGGCAGGGTCCTGAGCAGGGACAGGTGAAGGTCAGTGGATTAAGACACCACTGGCCATGTCCTTCAGCCGCTGAGCAGCCCCACCCAGGGCGGTGACTGGGTCCACAGGTGCCCGACTGAGAACTCCCCAGTATAAGCACGGCTGGACGTGGTCTCAGCACAGCTGGTGTCGTGGATCCATACATTCCCCATCGCCAGAGCTGGTCTTGAGTTCGAGGGAGCAGGATTGGCCTTCGGAGGGTCTTTGGGGAGCTGCCACCAGCACCGCTCCAGCACCTCCCCCAGGAACCTGTTGGAAATAGTCCCCACACTGCAACCCTGCTTCTAGTGTGCTGTCCCGCAAGGTCACCATGTTTCTAGGGTGTATTTTCCAGGCACTCTGCCTTTCCTGTATGCTGCTTCCTTTATTTTTCCTTTAACTGGTTTAGTTGTGACGGTTTTAGGGAGGGTATTATCTGTCAGCATTACAGAGTGCTGGCGCGAGGTGCACCCTGAACACTGAGTGTGTAAACAAAAATGCAGATTTACTGTGGCGACAGACACATTGCCATCAATCCGTAAATCACGCCCACCCTCGAACACAGCTGTCCCACGGTCTTGGCCACTTTCTGAAGCAGCTCTGAGCGGCCTCTCTCCAGAGGGTCTGTGGTTTCCCCATGGCTCCTGCCTCGATGCCCAGAGTCGATGTGAGACGTTTCCCTTGAGTGGCCACACTGCCCATGTGTGGCCAGTGAAGGACCGCTGGTGAACAGGTCAGATGAGGACACAGTGTCATGTTTTATGAGCTGCCTTCTGCTGGATGGCGCTCACATACCGTGTTTCTGATCACACCTGGCAGAGACACTCAGGAAAGAGGATTCCAGAACCACTTCAGAAAGTGCACGAATCACGGCATAAGTGTGCCCGAAGCATGTGGGAGGGGGAGGATTTTGAGGCTGTGCCACTTTCATTGTCATAGTTTTTATGTGAAATCCCCGTGTTGTTCTCTCGAACCTTGAGTGTTGACCACCGAAAGGTATTTCTGATGCACAATGCAAACACTCACGAGAACGGGTTGCTGGGCCCTGCGTGAGGCACACACCTTGTCACTGGTGCTGTCCTTCCTTCCCAGGAGGAAGACGAAGGCCCGAGCCCCTCCTCCTCCCGGAAAGCCCGCCCTGCCCAGTATGCCCAGCGAACAGAAGCCTCCTCGAGATGCGGCCATCGGCTGCCACCAGAACCTGATCCACCAGCAGGAGGCACTGCGTGACAGCACCCTGGACGTCACCGTGGTCCTGCCCAGTGGGCTGGAGAAGCAGAGTGTGGTCAGTGGGAGGTAAGGACCAGTGCCAGGTCACAGTGCCCTGAGCCAGAGGCAAGGAGAAGCTGGCTGTGGGGTGTCACGTTGTTACCTCAGGGCAAACCTCAACAAAGGCTAGGGGATGACTCAGGCTGTCCCCACAGAATGTGTGTGCGATACCTGGCCAGTCAAGCTCACCTCGTCCTCCAGGCCACACCCCAGGTGATGATCTGAGCAGAAAGGGGTGCATCACTGGAAAACCCTTTTCGAGCTCTGTGAGCGGAAGTGGAAGGACACTGCTCTCAGCGTCTGTCTGTTAGGGGCTCAGTCCCGGAAGACACCAGGTGTCAGGAGTGAGGCCAGCCCCAGTGGCATTTCCCAAGCCCTACTCTGGGCGCCAGACTGTCAGGTTGTGACAGCCTCTGTGTGTTTCCTCGTCTTAGTGTCCTCTGCACTGTGAGGACGCCTGCCACCTAGCTTTCCATATAACCTGAGAGATTCAGCACAGCAATGCCACAGCCTGCTCTAGAAGATGCCAGAATGCAAGAGATGTCGCCAGTGAATGTATCACGGGCTCTCTAGTATTCCCACACGTGGGCCAAATTCTGGGTAACATTTTTTTTTTTAAGAAAGCAATAGAGTAGCTTCTGCCTTAAAGTACAATACCCAGGAGACTCTTCTAGATGTGGGGCCAAAGACAGACTGCTTTTCTGGAAAGGAAAAATTATTTTTGAAAGGTGCTTTTTAAGAGACACATCCTTAGACTGCTTCTTTTCTCCCTGGTAAGCAGTAGTCGCCAGCACACAACTTGGGGAGGTGACCCCGAAGGCTGGATGCTCGAATAGACTTCTCCTGTCTCAAGTGCACTGGGATACCGTCCCAGAGTCAGCCGCAGGGTTATAGGCAGAGCAGGGTCCCAGGTTCCTGGAGATGCCTGAGCCTGGGAATTGGTTTCATACGTAACACTCTTTAATAATACAAGAACGGGCTGAAGCCAGGTTTCTAACAGACCTGCTCGATTCATTCTCCTGGTCTCTGCTCCACATAAAGGGTGATTTCGGTGAAGAAGGCACGCACCTTTCTGCAGGCTGAGCAAGCAGTTTATAAAAGGCAGCCAGCCTGGACGGTGGGCTCCAGACGTCAGGCTCTCATAGAGAAAAGAAGTTAGCAACCAGGCGCTCCCAGTCACAGGCTGCAAGTCATCAATTTTTCTTATGTTTGAGTGTCTCTGAGCTGGGCTGGGAGAGTCAGGGCTCAGGGCTGTTCTGAAGCAGAGGCGGGCGAAGTCCAGGCACTGTGGGGCCGCAGCTGGAAGGAACTCAACAGTCACATTTGTTTGGGGGCCAAAGAAAGAGGAGGCTTTGGAGGAGCCGCTGCCCTTGGCCAGAGGGAGGCTGACAGAGGGTGTTACGTGTCCCCTGGACCAGTCCATGGTCACGTCCATGGCGTATCATAGCTGAGGGCTGAGCAGGGGATGACCAGGTGAAATCTCCCTAGCACTGGGGCCCATGATTCTGCCTGCAGGACAGCTGTGTGCTGCCTGTTCCCAGATGCATGGGCTGGGCAGATGAGGACCTCAGCCTGTCCCCTGGAGGGCACGTGACTCCTGCAAACTCACTAGTGAGTGGTGTTGAGGGTAACAGGGACATGTCCAGGGAGCACTTCTGTGTGGCCTGACACAGGAGGCTGTGGGTTCCCTCTCGGGATCCAAGGTGCAGATCAGAGAGGATCAGGGCACAGGAAGGTTGCTGGTGCTGGGTGCTGGTGCTGGGTGCTTTTGGGCAGGACACTGTGTGCCATGTCCTGTTAGCCTCTCAAATGGGGTCGCTTTCAAGCAGGCGGACCGTCAGATCTTCCTTACCTCCCAGCCTTGATGCATCTGCTGTCTGCAGGTCAGAGGACCCCAGCATCTCCGTTACTGGGGGCAGTGGTACTGGAGCTGAGCCCAGGGCCTTCATATCCAGCTACGCTCTGGTTTCAGTTTTAAGACAGCATCTCCCTAAGTCGCCTGGGCTGGGCTAGAATTTGTGATCGTCTTGCCTCATCCTCCCAGAGTGCTGGAACCATGGGCATGTGCTGCCACATCTGGCTCCACAGTTGTCTTTGCAAAGCTTTATAAGCCAAATGCCTGCAGCAAGCCAGGTCTCTCCTACATGGATGTAGCGTCCAGCCTGGATACACTGCCCGGCCCACAGCAATCTCTGAGGTCTGCACCTTGCACCAGATTTTCACCGAGCTTCGTCAGGCCTCCTCCTCCGGCACTGGATTCCTGCACAATCCAGCCTCACGCTGGAAATCCGGTCCTGGCGGGAACTGTCTCTCCCCTCCCAGTGGCTCTGGGCTTCCTGGCGCCCCCTGCTGGCCACAGACCCGTATGTGCTTCCTGTGAGCTCCCAGGGTCCTGGTTACACCTTCCACCCCTGCCATGGGACAGGCCTCTTTCCACCTGGCCTGGACTCCATGCCGCCACTGTGTGCCTTGCCTGCAGCCCAGGGCCACTTGCTGCCCAGGACCACTCAGGAAGCCAGGCCATGTTGGGCAGTCATGGACTTAGCAGCACCAGGAGCGTGGGAAGATCGCTGTATGACAACAGTGGCGAATCCTCTACAGGTGTGGGCTGTGCCCATCCTGGGAGTTCAGAGCCCAGAGTAGGGCCCTGGCCTGTGCCATGGGTCACCCTGGAGCTCGTGAGAAAGGCCAATGTGCAGCCCTGCCTGGTCCACCAGGCTGGGGCCCTGGGTGGAGCGGTGAGCGAGTTCCCCTGTGCCCTGGGCATCTGGTTCCTGGCCCCTGGCTGGGTGCATGCCCAGCTCCCCCTTTGCCAGTACAGGATCTGACAGGGGACTTGCCGGTCACTTCGTCCTGCAAACAAGGATGGAGCAGCGACACAGCCCACACCAGTGGGCTATGTCTCCACAGGGGTGGTGTTTGTGGTCGTCTCCAAGACATCACCTGTCAGCAGGACGACAGGCTGTGACTCAGAGTGACTCCAGTCAGCAGGGTCAGCTCTGTACCTGCTGGGCCCGACACGCAGAGAATGGCCTCCAGACGTCCCTGTCTCCAGGGTATGGTCCCCAAGCAGCCTGGGACCCAACCCACTCCCAAGTGTCCCCTGTGCCCAGGAAGGGTACTGGCCATAGCTCCTCCCCTCTGTCCAGCTCTCAGCCAGGACCTCAAACAGTCGCAGGCAAAGAGTCAGCATGTGCCACATCAAAGTCACCCGGTCACATGAAAATGGCTTGGAAGCCTGCACACATTTAGAAAGCAACGTGTTTCAAAGAAAGGGACGCAGAGTGTCTGTCTGTTTTAAAACTTGAAAGCAGAGGTCAAGAGCCAATGCATCAAAGTAAATCCACTTCTAAATTATGAGAACTTAAGACAGTTGAGGCATGGAGAGGTGAGGCTGGAAGAAAGCAAGGGCATCGAAGATCAGCGGTGAGGAAAGAGAGTGCGCCCCCAACACCCGCCTGCTCGCTGGGCTCAGAGCCCTCCGTCCCCTGCTGCCGTCTGCTGTTCCGCTAAAAGCTGGGGTTTAACCAGAACACGGACAGAGGGACATAGACACACACACACACCCTGCAGTCCCTGCAGTGCCTGACAGCCAGGCCTCCACAGGACATCGCTGAGGTGGGGACATCCTCAGCCAGCCACCTTCCTTCCTTCCTGCCTGCCTTGCCCCGAGGCACCCAGCACCTCGCTATCTCAGTGCACCCCTTGTTCAGGGGGCTGTACCCCAGGTGTGGTGGACACAGACTGGCGACACTGAGCAGTGCCATCCTCCTGTGACCGTGGCTGCCTCCGAGCCCAGCACTGTGCTCAGCCGGCTGACGAGAGACTCCAGCCATGCTGTGCCTCGTGCCTTCCTCATGGGGAAACCGAGGCACAGAGAGGCAGTCACTGCCCAGCCAGGCTGCAGACCAGACATGGGGACCGCTTGTCAGAGCCACCCAGGTGCCACGTGCCACCCAGTGAGGGGTCACCGGCCCTTTGTTCCTGGGTGTCAGGAGCTTGGAGGAAACCCACAGGGCCTGGGTCCTGCAGGACACTGAAGGGCCAAGGGCTGCTCTTCCTCCCGCCTGGCTTTCACCTGAGGCTTAGGGCAGCCTTGGAAGACCTGGCCCGGTGGCAGCGTGGGGTTCTGTGTTTTGTGTGCCAACCAGGAGCAGCAGAACCGGCATGGCTCAGAGACCTAGTCCTAGGTTTGAACAGAGTATATCCTCCGTCTTTCTCTTCTTTTAATTTCACTTTATAAATGAATATCATCCTTTAACTAATGCATCCACCCACTCTGCCCTCGAGGGGGAGCTGGGCCACCCACACACACACAGCTAGATGTGGTGCAGGGCACAGTGGTAACCAGAATCCTAGCACCTGTGTCCCAGACCTCCTCAGGTTCCTGTAGAAACCGCTCAGTCTGGGTAGGGCTTCTGGCCCCAGGGAGGAGTCCAGGTCCTTCGCTGCCCCCAGCTGGATAAGTGCAGCTCCTCTGCTCTCCCACAGCCCAACACACATGGGAACCTGGGCCTGCTCTCTCTTCACGTTCTCACTGTGCTGGGATGGTTTCCTTTGTTATTCTTCTCCCATGTCTAATAGTAAATTGGAGCAGAGAGATTATTAAATCAACTGCTTTGTCTGCTGAAAACATGGCTGCAGAGACTTGCAGCCCAACACTCTGGGAGGCTGAGGCAGGAGGATCGCAAGTTCAAGCCCAGCAGGTAACTTAGTGATTTAGTGAGGCCTTGTTTTGAGACAAACGACTGTGGGTCACTACCCCCCAAGTCTGCCTGCTGCCTTTCAGTGTATATATCCCGTCTTGCACATGCAGCAGGGTGATGCCTGCTTCATTCCAGCAAGCCTGTGCGTGAGCCCACGCTGCTCTGGCTCCACCAAACGCCCCACAGACAGCAGTGCACCAGCTTCTGGGGTTCCTGGGGCACAGGTATTGCTCAGGGTCTCCTGCAGAGCAGGGAGCATGACCACTGTCTTGGGGACAGCGTGACGCATTGCTCTGGATCTGAACACACACGGTTAGTAGCTATCACTCTTAGCAGCTGAATAAGAAACGTCACACTTTGGGACCGGGGTGCAGAGAGGTACTGGGGATCAAATCTGGGACCTCTGCACTGAGCTGCATCCCTGGCCCTCTGCAAATTTTTATTCTGAGTCAGGATCTTGCTAAGTCACTAAATCACCTGGGCTGGGCTTGAATTTGTAGATCTATAATCCTCCTGCCACAGCCTCCCAGAGTGCTTGTAGGCATGCGCCCTCAGAAAGAGACAATTTTTAAAAAATCTTTAATGGATATTGAATTTTGTCAGATGCTTTTTCTGTATCAACTGAGATGCTTATGTGGACTTTTGATTCATGCTGTAATAAGATGCATCACATTTGCATACACTGAGCCATCTCTGCCTCCTGGGGATAGAGCCCACTCCACATGGCAAATCATCTTTCAAGTGTGCTACTGAGCTTGGCTTGCTGCTGTTTTTCTGGAGATTCTTGCATTTGTGTTCATCAGAGGTATTAGCTGGTGGTTTTCTTTTCTTGTGCCATCTCCAATCTTTAATGCTGGTTTCGTAAACAGTGTTTGGAATGTTCGGACCTCCCTTTCTTGTCACAGCTTGGGAACATGAGCATGATTCTTTGCATGTTTGGAGGAATTTTCTGCTGTCTGCATGTGACGCAGGGCTTCTCTTTGCAGGTCAGGTTAAAAGCTGATTCAGTCTCCCGCTCCAGTCCTTTCCATCTGGTGCGGGTTCCCTTGGTTCTGCTTTAGCGGATTTAATGTGTCTAGAAGTTTGCTTCTTCTGGGTCACACAGTTTAAACCTAGAGTTTATAATGTGTTCTACAAACACTGAGCAGGTACTACTAAGACCATACGAAGTGTCCTTTTAACATACCCTTGGGCTTACCTGTTTTTCCCAGCTAGCATGATCCTGCTGTTTTGCCAATGTTGTTTACTGGCCCAGAAAATGCTAACGTGATGCCGTACAGTCACGCAGAAGAAATTAATGAGCCACTGTGGTCTTTCTGCATTGTACATCCAATCCTGTTTGTCCTTAAACTCATGCCTTGCTCAGTGCTCATCGAGCTGGGCATCGGGGAGGGCGCAGAGCCTTCTAATGCTCATGATTCTCTTTCCCTCTTTCAGCCATGCCATGATGGACCTGCTGGTTGAACTCTGCCTGCAGAATCATCTGAATCCTTCCCACCATGCGCTGGAGATCCGGTCTGCAGAAACTCAACAGCCTTTGAGTTTTAAGCCAAATACTTTGGTTGGGACCTTGAATGTACACACTGTGTTTCTGAAAGAGAAAGTTCCGGAAGAGAAGGCAAAGCCTGGCCCCCGCAAGGTGCCTGAGGTCAGTGTGCAGCTGTGGGTTGCCTGAGGAGGCCAGGGGATGGTGCCTGTGGTGAGAGAGTTGCAGGCGGCCAGTGGCTCCTGCGGGCTGAGCAAGCTTAGGCACTACGCTGGTTTCATGGGCGTGGCAGAACTTTCTGAACCATTCATGCCCACCGAATGCTGCAGGAAAGGAATCAGTGCACAGCTGGGCCATCCACTGGGAGGACTCCACACCCTACCCTTCCCAGCATGGAAGTGGGGTGGCCCTTCCCAGTATGGCAGCCCCACCATGGACACCATTCGCACTTGGAATGTGGCTTGTATGAAGGAAGACTGTGTCCATTTGATGGACTAGGTTAACTGGCTAATGTCTGCCTCAGTAGACTGGGCAGTCAGGGCTTCTTCCAGCTCCAGGAAGCAGTTGAGATCCAGACAGGATTTTGCTTTTTTCCTCAAGAGAAAGAGGTGTGTAGGGGGGTCTTTTTGAAAAGCTGGTGTCGGAAACATTTGTGTGTTGCACTTGGGGAGCATCTGACAGCCTTATTTCAGGCTTTTTACTGGGGAAAAAAAACTAACTGCAGAAGGCTTTGAGATAGAGATTTTGGTTCCATTAAAAGAAGCGGGGGTTTCCTCGTAGACATGCTAAATTTCCCTGCTTTTTAAAATGAGGATTTGACCGTCAGTTTATCACCCATGATTTTGTGTTTCAGCAATTAACAGACTCTAATCATTGCCTTCTATGCCAGGCCGGAAGCAAGTGTCTTTTTCTTGTTCAAAAACTATCAGCGTCTGAGGAAAAGAGTCTCTCTTCCTTCTCACTGGCTCCCCTTTATTGCCTGGCCCCCACTGCCCTGGTTCTGCTGGTCCAGCTTCCCTTAGAAACTCTGTCGTTGTCATAGCTACCGAGTCCTTCCTCCCAGACCAGAAGGGAGCCCAAGGTCTGTCTCAGTCACTCTTGATGGACATGGACATACTCTGTCCCCGTGGTGGTCAGTGATGCTGAGTTCAAGGAGACCAGGTGAAACCTGGAACACTACAGATTTCAGAGAAGCCTTGCATCCTTAGGCACACAGGGTCAGCCTTGATCAGACTGATAGTCTCTCTTTCTGCTATGTGTCTGGTATTTGTAAAAGGTAACACAGATTCCTAACTTAAAATGTGTGTGTGTAGCATGTATATATCAATTCAAACTGGTCATAGTGATGCACACACTGTAATTCCTGCTCTGTGGGAGGCTGAGGCAGGAAGATTATGAGTTCAGGCTCAGCCTGGGCATCTTGCTGACTTAGCAAGACCCTGTCACCACATAAAAAATTTAAAAAGGGATTAAGATATAGTTCAGTATGAAGACCCTAGGTTCAGTCACCAGTTCTGAAAAAATTACATGTCTGTGTATATTCTCCGTATGTGTTTTATATGCATATAAAGAATACCCTGTATGTATTCATGTAGAAATATGTGTGTAAATATTCACATACCTATGTGGATATTTTGACTTAAACAAAAATTTGATGTTTCATTTTGTGAGGGTTTTTCTCAATGAATTATTCACATTCCACCCAAACTATTTTCCTTTAGAAAACGTCCCTAAGCATCTTGGCAGGTGGCTGTGTGTTAAATTCAGAGCCCTCCTTGGTGTCCGCCGCCCTGTGCCAAGCCATTGGTTCCTTCAGAGCAGGAGTCTAAGCTCGATCTATGACTCTGGACCCTGATTTCCGGGGTGCCTGGACCTGCGGAGCTCGGAGCTCGAAGGGGGAATATGCTGCCCCTGCCCACCCTGCCGGCCAGGTCCTTCCGCGTATGCTCACTCAGGAGCTCTGCTCTGTGCCTTGCAGAAGTCAGTGCGCCTGGTGGTCAACTACCTGCGCACGCAGAAGGCTGTGGTGCGCGTGAGCCCTGACGCGCCTCTGCGGAGCATCCTGCCGCTCATCTGCGCCAAGTGCGAGGTCAGCCCGGAACACGTGGTCCTGCTGCGCGAAGCGGCGGGGGAGGAGCTGGAGCTGTCCAAGTCCCTCAGCGAGCTGGGGATAAAGGAGCTTTATGCGTGGGACAACAGGAGAGGTGAGGCCCTGCGGCGGGCAGTGATGTGTCCCCCACCCCCCCGCTGGACACAGGTGCCCCATACACGCGTGTGTGCCACCCTGAGGACAACTGAGGTGCCACCTTGGCCTTTCTGTGGCTATTGGCCCAGAGACTGACGTGGCGTGAATGGGCACTGACCGGGGTGGAGCTGCTCCAGTGTCAAGGGGAGGGACTATGGCACTCCTTGACCTTAGAGTGGTTCCAGTGGACGCCCAGGCCTTTCCTCCAGGGAGCCTCATTCAGTATCTGTGGTCTCTTTTATTCATTCCACAAACGTGGAGTGGAATGGATTTTTAAAATACACACATTCAAGCTTTGGTATAGCTTTTTTCAAAATTCTTCTGATCAAATGCCCTTTTTCTTCTCACCAGTGTGTCATGAGCTCAGTGGTCACATGCGACCCCACCCTGTCTGTACTTCCCAAAGGTTAGCACACCCCTCCTAGTCCTCGGGGCCTCCGTTTCTGTAGAGGACCAAGAGAGAGGGTTTAGCCACTTGAACTCCGTGGCCAAGAAGTTCAAACACTTCTCTGACCTTCAAGAATAATGCATCTTGTGTTCTGTCCGCAGCTTGAGAGATTCCACTTCAAGGGCAGGGCTTCAGCCCAGGGCCTCACCCAGGCTGGCCTGCCCGGGGTCGCCGTAACAGGGTCCTGTCCTTGGCAGCCTGCCTCTCAGCCCAGGTGCTGTGGGTGTTTCCGCCCTGTTTTAACATGACCCTGTGAGTCTCTGGAAACAGTTTCAGTCAGTGAACCAGGGGAGGAGGAGATGGGAAAGCGGCTCTGGGCCTGAGCTCCGAGGCTTGTGTCTATGTGGAGCAGGCTGTGTGGTTCTGGTCCCAGAGAAGCCAAGCAGAGCTGCCCCAGGAGCAGGGCACGGCCCGTCCAGCCCATGGTGGCCCAGGGAGCCCAACTGCCTTCAGAGCGCCCAGCCCACCCTGACAGGGCCGGAAGGCTGCTCCCAAGCCCGGGTCCCTCTGCACTGCCTTGGGCACCGACCTTGTCCCATGGTTCCTGCACTAGTGGCTCCCAGTCCCTTTCTGCTGCTGCCAGCAGGTCCACTGATACCGAGGTAGGGCTGGTCGTCCCCTCCCCAGCCCTGCTGCCTCTGCCCAGGCTGAGCAGCGGCAGGGGTGAGGCTGTGGGTAGAGAGTTGGCAGGGGTGGTGCAGAAACAGGCTCAGCTGCCACCTGCCAGCTCCAGCAGCCTGCAGTGCAGAGGCCCCAGGATGCCCCAGGCAGGGCCTCTCTGCAGGTGGCCGCATCCCTGCAGGGGACACACAGACCCCATCCCAGAGCAGGGCTGGGCAGTGGCTTCGGGTCTGGAAGCAGCCCTCACTCTCCTGCCTGCCTCTTTCAGTTCTGACCAAAACACAGTCTGAGCCGTCCCTGAGCTGCCAAGGTACCAGGGTGCAGGCTGTGCTCTGCATGGCGGGGGATGTTGGGTTCGGGGCCTGTGGTGTTGCTGGGGGTGGCGGGTGGCTTCCTTGGGGTGCTATGTGAGGCCCGGGAGAGGGGGAGAGGCCTGAGGATACCAGCGTTGCAGCCCAGTGTGGGTGCAGCCCGGCTCCTCTTCACCTCTGCAGGGTGCACCTGCTGCGCACTCCCCACCCAGCTCCACACCACAGTGCAGGGAGCACCCACAGAGTCACCGTTCCTGTGCTGGACACGAGACTGACACCCCTCGTGTTCCTAACACTCGTGTCACAGGTGCTCTATACACAGGATGTGTTCTGTCTATAGGGAGCTGGCTGTGTCTCTAGATACAGAATTCAGAGAGAGAGGAGAGGAAGAGGGAAGGTGGATCTGTGTACCTGTCCAGTGTGTTTACACCGCACACACGGCATATCCCTGTATACATCTGTTCCCACACATGGAAACTCTGGGATTTTCATGAGTTTTTAATGTACACACACACACACACACGGACACACATGCACATGCCCATATACACACACATACACCCATGTGCACCCACCCATATGCACCCACAGCCCTGTACACGCCAGAAGCATCATGAAGACACCAGCCAGTCTCGCATGCTACCGAAAGCCTCATCCCATTCATTACAGTTCTTAACACCAGATTTAATTTAATTCTATTGCACACATTTCTGAAGGAACCCTGGACTGAGATGTGGAGCCAAGCCTAAGAGAGGCTCCCAGGGGAGCTGTGGCAGCCACCCTGGGTTCCAAGCATGTGGCCTGCAGCAGCCTGTGTCTCAGCTGGGTCCTGACAGGCAGAGGCAGGGCCTCGTGGCCCTTTGCTGATCATGTCTGGGTCGCTGGCGATGGTGCCTCAGAACCATGCTGGGACTGGAGCCCAGCTCCTCCTCCTTGCTGTGATGCTTTGGTTTGCAGTTTTACTTGAGAGAAGTGAGCAGTTTAGACCGTCGGCCTTTCAGGGCCCCTTCAGCTTCCTGTCTTTCATGGTTCATCTTAATCAGTTTCACAGTTCTAGGGATAAAACCAGGTTCACATGAGCTACACCCCCAGCCCACATTGTTATTACCATTGTTGTTTGAGACAGTGTCTCCAAGTTCTTAAATTATCTAGGTGTGGCTGGACCTTGTAATCTGCCTGCCTCAGCCTTCCAGAGTGGTGGGATCACTGGGGCATGCACTTCTAAATCGTTGTAATGACTAAATCATTTTATGCTTCCGAAAAAGAAGGAGCTTTCTATCAATTCAATGTGAACCCTGGAAAAGCTCCTGCCAGTAATGTCTGTAACCTGGAGTGAATCCGAATATATTCATCCTCTGCTGCTCCTCTGATCCTCTCGAGCAGCGTGCAGGTCCTGGCTGCCTGTTGTCCAGGGTCAGCTGCAGCTGCTCCTGGGGCTGTAACAGGACATTGGAGTCCCTGCAGGTTTTGTCTGAAGTCACCACGGACTTCTGTTGTTGGTGCCCACGTGGCCAGTCCATGCCATCCCATTCCCTCCCAAGGCCACCCAGGCCAACAGCACAACTCGCCCTCTGCTGCACACCTCCTGCTGCAGGCCCCGCTGGGCTGTGAGAGGAACCCGGGCCTTCCCAGATGGCTATGGGCTACGCGTCACCAGAACACATGCCCCAGCCCTCATGATTCTGCTCTGGACACCCTCCATCTTGTGCCCGGTGCTGCCCCTGTGCCGGGCAGGAAACCCGGGCTCAGCCTCACTGCAGTTGTCCCGCACGAGTGCTGCATTTGGCACCTGGCACAGTGGGCTGTGTGCAGAAGGCGGGGCCCCTCAGTATTACCCATATCGATACATGCAGACACGACCCACATACTCGCCCCAGGGCACACAGTCAGTGGGACCATGGCGCAGGCTCAGAGCATAGACCTCAGCAAGCCGAGTGCAGGCGTGGGACTGCGCTGTGCTCTGAAGCTCTGCCTGCAGCAGGCCTCCGGTGTAACTCACTGCACGCCTGTGCACGCGTATGTCGTGTGGCTGCATGGTGGCCGGCAGGTCCTCCGGCTTGGATGTGGTGTGGCGTGGACCCACTAACCTCCCCTGCATGGGACCAAACCCGGGCATTTGTTCCTGTGCCGTGGTGATGGTGGGCGTGCTGGGGTGTTGCTTCTCCCAGCAAATAGTCTTCAAGGTCTCTCGTGCTCACTCACGCGCTGGCAGGCGCCTGGCCTCTGACTCCTGTGTGACATCCTACGTTTGCAGCCCGGGACACTCCCAGGTGTCTCGCATGCTCTGGCTGAAATACAGACTGCAGGTTTGTGAAATCCTGGCTGCGACTTTGCCATGGCCAGACTGGGGCGATGGCTGTCCAGCAGGTGATGGCAGCTGCAAGGTCCAGTCCTCCAGGGCAGCTGTGTCCACCCTCCTGACCTGCCTGGTTCCTGCCTTGGGCGAGAAGGGTGAGATCAGTGAAAGGCCGAGGCTCAGAGTGGCCTTGGTGTGCAAATAAACGAGTAATAATAACCAGGGGGCCAGCTGGGGTGCGTGTGCCACAAGCCCCACCCTGGACCACAGAGGGAGAAACTGAGGCTCCGAGGGGCTGAGCAGTGAGCCCCATGTATGGGGCCGGGTGTGTCCCCAGGGTGAGCGGAATCAGGACTCACCTGGGGTTTCCACCTGCAAGGTCCCGACAGCCCTGGGATCATGTGTCTCCTGGGTTCCCACTGGTCCCACCACCCAGGAAGCGGATGAGGAGAAACCAGGAAGGGTGAGCCAGGATCCAGAGTTCAGCACTAAAGAAAGCAAGTAGAACAGCCGGTGAACCATCGCCCCCTAGAGGCTGTAACCAGAAAGGCAGGCATTCTGGTGCAGGGGGAGAGAATCCCGGAAGCAGGGCCTAAAGATGGAATGTGGGGATTTCCAGCACCAGCCAACAACCTGCAGTTGTCACCGCACCTGCCTGCTCTAGAAAGGAGCAGGAAAGCTTGTGAGCAGTCTGACTGAGTCCAGGGTCTTAGTACTGAGCTGCATCCCCAGCCCTTTTTACATAAAGTCTTCACTTCAAGGCGGGGCCTCACTGAATTGCTCAGTTGCCCAAGGGGGACTGGAATTTGTATTCTTCCTGCCTCAGCCTCCCAGAGTGCTGGGACTACAGGCATCACCACCATGCCCAGCTCACTCATGGTTCTTTAAACTGGTGTCTTGGCGGAGGGCATAGTTTTTAGGGCCCTGCTGTTCAGAGTCAGCACGGTTTACCCGTGGCCAAGGGCCCCTCCGGTGACCTGTCCGAGCAGGGATGCACCGTCCACCCAGGGCAAGTCCTGCATTTTGAAGACTTAGCTCCAAAACAAACATAAAATGCCAGTGACACCCACACTGATTATGCGATGGAACAACTCTTTCAGGATAAATTGGGTTATATAATATTTTTCTTGAAATCCCTCTCACCGGTATGTTAAATGCAGCTACTAGCAAATAGAACATCACACAGGGCTGGACTCAGCTTCCTCTTGGGCAGCCTGGCCCTGGAACTCTCACTGGTGTATTTGGTTTTTCATTCTCTAAGTGGGGATGTGCGTACCAGAGACTGTGTAAGAACTTTCTGTGGGTTCCACGTGCCCTGAGGCTTTCAGGTAGCTGCAAAAGCTGTGAAAGAAGCAGCTGGTGGTTTCCCCTCCTAGAAGAACTGCTGCCAGTTTTAGAGTAAAAGATTCAGTTACTGCAATTTTTTTTAAAAAGTGAAATATTGAATGTCTTCTTTCAAATGCTGAGAAGTAACTTCGTTTCTCCTTTTTTCCAGAAACATTTAGAAAGTCATCACTTGGCAACGATGAGACAGATGCAGAGAAGAAAAAATTTCTGGGATTTTTGAAAGCTAATAAAAGAAGCAATAGTAAGGTAATTGATTACATTTACGTAGGGTTTCGCATTTCATAAAATGGTTACTTGAGATGTTTGTACTGAATCTGTCTGGGACTTTTTCTGGATAATTATGCCAAGGAATAGGAATTCCTTTGGGTAGGAGGAGCTCACAGAGATGATGGACTCTGAATCCCCACGGTTGATCCTGAAGCAGTTAATTATCCTGGGTGAAGGTGTTTCCTTTGCAGCGGAAGGAGAGGCTGTGAGGCCCAAGGCTAGGGCGGTGACCTAAAACCTAGTGCCTGGGCCAGCCTGGCTGCTGTTTGACACAGCACATAGCCTGTGGATGGATGGGTCCGTGCATTTTAGATACAACAGTCATGGCTGGCAAGGTGGCGTAAGTCTGTGACCTCAGCACGAGGGGGCTGATGCAGGAGGGTTACTGTGAGTTTGAGAGCAGCCTGGGCTACATACTGAGTTCAAGGTCAGCCTGAACTACACAGCGAGACCCTGGCGCGCGCGCGCGCGCACACACACACACACACACACACACACACATACAGCAGTCTGCATCCTTATAAATGCCGTCACCTTTGAAGCCTGCCCAATGAGGAGCTGGGGGCCTGGGGAGGGTATACACCCACCCGGTGCCTTCCCTGCTGAGGGTGGTGTCAGCTCTCTCTAACAGGGTTGGGAATAGACCCCAAGATGAGGTGACTTTGTTGATACTGGTCCTCTGTAGGAAATAAAACTTTGAAGTCATACTTTTGATTTAATGTTATAGAAAAATTTAAAGCCATAGTACTAACAGTATAATAAGTTCTTTTAAAATAGTTATGAGTCCCAAAACTATAAATTCCTCTTAACTCTTCAGAAGAGAGCATGCTTATTATACTTAAGCTATTTTTTTAGTAAGCAAATACAGAGTGAGATAGAAAAATATGGCGAGTGTTTAGAGTTTTACAAATTTATGACAGTAACAGACTCAGTGCCATTAAAATCCCTCAGAACCCTCCCCTCAGTCCACACCCTCATCCCACCTCTCTGCCACTTTCTGCAGAGCTCTGGGCCTCTTTCCGGGGTGTCTTTGGTTGCACTATCCTGGCTTCTTAGGTGTCCTGAATTGGTTCAAAACATTTCCTTTCATGGTCACTGCGACTTCAAGGAGGAGCCAGAAGTCACACGGTGCCAGATCCAGTGACTGAGGTGGCTGAAGACACAAGGTCGTGTGTTTAGGAGCCGCCTTTCCATTGGAGGGCGCTCGGCTGCAGCAGTCACCGTGTTTCTGATCACACCCCATAAAGACACTCAGGAAAGAGGACGCCCGAGCTGCTGCAGAAAGCAGCCAGAATCATGGGATAAGAGTCGGAAGTGGGGTGCACTGAGAGGGGTCCGCAAGATGTGTCTCACTGTAATAAATATTTTCAGTGTAAGTGGTAACCACCTCCTCTGATCACCTGGGGCAGCCTGGTGCTGTCTCTACTAACAAGTGGACTAAAAAGGACAAAAGCACTGAGTGTGTGCTTGGCACCGGCAGTATAGCTGGGACAGGTGCCCGCTGAGTTCTCTGAGGCTGGCGGAGGAGGGGGCTCTGTCCCAGGGACTCAGGGCACACGCTCCTCGCCTGTCCCGATGCCCGTGGTGGCTGTGGCCCAGTATTCTCCACAGGCATGTTCTTTCCCCCTCTCTGTGTCCTTTTCAGTCTTCTCTGGGTGGGGATCTCCCCACAGGAGACCTCCCCTCCTCTGTACCCTCCTCCTCTTCTGAGCTTCTCCTCCTCCGTCAAAATTACTTGAAATTAGAGCATCGGGTTCATTTTTCATTTTGTTTTTGTTTCTAGGGCTGGGGATTGAGCCCAGGGAGCTGGTGCATGCGTGATGCATCTTAATTCTGTTTCCTCCCTCTCCCCTCTCTCCCTGCTCCCTGGGTCTCTAGATCCCTTTCTGGTTTGCAGATGATGTGTCTCCCGGTTCCTGTTGTCTGTCCTTCATTTTGCTCTTCTAATTTCTGGTTCTTTGGGTGACCATGCTGAGCGCAGCCCTGTTCAGCCTGTTTGAGAACCGGGACAGAGGTGAAACTGAAGTCAGACAGCAGCCCCTAGGTTGCCGCCATGGGCAACGGGTGCAGGATGGGTTTCTGTGCTCCAAAAAGCTAGCAGGTGGCAGTAAGGGGAAAGCAGCCTAGCTTTAATCACATGACTGTGAGCCCACTTACACTCCTGGAAAAGCAAACAGCAGGAGCACTCAAGGCGCCTGGCGGCGTTGGGCTTTGGAGCACGCAGGTCTGGGGCGCCACCTGCTGGCCTGCGGATGAGCGTGGCCCACACTGTGTTACGGAGCTGGCCAGCGGAGTCAGCTGCACCAGCCTTTCCCATAATGCACTGTCGCAGTCGGAGGTGTGAAAACAGGGACCCCATGCGTGCAGCTGAGAGCAAAGGAAGGGTACTGCGGGTCATGCAGGAGAATCTGGTGACAAGTGTCCTGGTGTGGGACTCTGAATTCTTCAAGGCTCTTTGTCTTCCTTACTCTGCTTCCTGATAGTGGGCTGTTGGACTGAGGTCATTGGCCAGGGCCGTGGCCCAGGGAGAGCCGTGGAGGGGCGTGGCTCACAGCCCCAATCACCATCCATATTAGGTTGGCAGAGATCCGAACTCTGTCCTAAACCACGTGAGCAAAGCCGTGGAGCAGGGGGAGCGCGGTGCAACTCCAGCCTGATGGAAGGGAGTCTGACAGTCTTTAGCCAGACGACACCTGCCTCCGCTCTACGACCCTGCAACTTGCACTGTCTGAAGTCTGTCCCAGCACTCACAGCCACAGTGAGGGAAGGCTGCTTAGTGCCACCACATGGCCCTGGTAGGGGACTGCAGACAGCACTGTGGCACTGCCACGAAAACAAAGGGAGAGACCCGGTGATCGCACACCCACGAAGAGTGTCATTATATTGGCAGAATTAAGGCTGCCATTGTTGTAATGAGGCTCCCGTGCGGTGGGGTAGTCACAGCTGGAAAGTAAAACTCTCCTAGTTTTAAGCCCTCAGGCAAGAAAACCCTTAATGAGGTCATCATGATTTCTGCTGGCGACCTGAGCTGCCACTCCGGTCTGGGCTCCTGCAGAGGCTGTGCTTGGTGCTGGCCCATGGTCGTCCTCCGTGTGTAGGCGCAGGGAGCGTCCACTCCCCCACATTAATGGTGGAGGAGATTCTTTATTCCCTTCCATGCATTTCATATGGATCTCTGCTGTAAATGGTGCTGGTAACAGAAGGGTTTTCAAGCACTCTCTGCTGCTGGCTTTAAAAATCTCCCATTGGCTTCTACTCCAGGGCATTCTCAATCTGACCGGCAAGTAGGATGGGCAGCATCCCGTGGATGTGGGTCCCGGGGCCTGGGGAGCCCTCCCCCCCTGGTGCCCATGGGAACTGGTGTGTGGGTCCGGCTCAGTGTAACCAGGTCTGTGTGCACCTCTTCCTCCCTGGGATCCAGAGAACTAGCTGTCGCAGGCATGGCCTTGCTCCTCTCTGTCCCCACCTGCTTCCAGGCTGCTGCCGACTTTGTCCCCGAGTCACTGGGAGCTGTACGGCGCCACGAGGTCTACTCTGAAGGGCCCCAGTACCAACACAGGCAGGTGCCTGAAGGCGCTTCCATGGCGGCCCAGCAGGGGGCGCTGTGTCTTCAGGTTACTCACCGCCTACCTGAGCTCCCTAGAGGACCCTGGGGAGGACAGAGGGCACAGCTCATCCGGCACCCACAGGAAGCCTCTGCAGTGCCCAGTGAAGTGAGCAGCGCTTTCGTAGAAGGTTTGCAGCGGCTGCTGTTTTCCTGAGAAAGCTCAGGGGGCTTACCCAGTCTTTGGGGACAGACTGACATGGGACATGCACTGTCCTAGAGAATCAGATCTGACCTGGAAGGGTTAGCGTCCTGGAAAGGAAAGTTAGTCACGAGGACACTTCTTCATTTCCGTAGACAAACAGTGCTTGAGTCACAGTAAATATATTCACCTTTCAAGGACCTTCAAGTGCTTTTCTGAAATTTTGCATTTTTACATTTTCCAGGAAAGTATATATTCTGTGCTCCCTCGCCCCTGTCCTGGGGACTAACGCAGAACCTTTGCAATGAGCTATGTCTCCAGCGCCACCTCCTCCTTTTAAATTTTCAGAGGATCTGTCCGAGCTGCCCAGGTGAAATATGTCATGGTCTCCTGCCCCAGCCTCCCTGAGTGCAGCGACCACAGGCTACAGCTCCATGCCCAGGTGCTCTGTGGGGGTGGGGAATCATTGTTGGCTTTTTCTAGAATTCATTATAGGAAGTCATCGGCCTTTTCCGGGCCCACCCCTGGGTTAACAGCAAATTCTACCAATGTGACCAACCTACAGCTTCTTCCCCTGAGCTTCCTCAGCCACCACCACCCTGCCCGCTACTATAAAGTCTAGGAAAATGAGTTCTGAACGTTTCTGCCTCGGTAAATGCGGATGTATCTGGAGACATTTGTGGCATTTGCTCTGCCTGGGCTGTGGTAGGAACGCAGTCACTCCCCGGTGTTTGCTTTCCTGTGTCTGAAGTGGTTTCCATGGCAACAGCCCTGTTAAGGTTCCTGGCATCAGGAGGACATGGCCTGTCCCCTGCCCTGCCCCCCTCTGCAGAGGCTGCTGCAGTCAGGACTTCGGGAGTGGACCCGGAAGCCGTGCCTAGGGATGGTCGCCTTCCGACATGACTGGAAGAGCACTGCATGAGGGAACCGCATGTCCAGAAGGCAGGGTCTCCACTCAGACCCTGCTCAGAGGGGGTCACGAGGACCCAAGTGGCCGCACCCTGGTGGAAAAGCACAGACCAAATACCTAGGCCTTTGGAGAGCTTATAACTTGGGTTGGAAGGCAGGTGCCAAGGGCAGCCCTGTGCTGCTGGGGCAGAGCTAATTCCTGTAGAGACCGGGTTTGCAGGGCTGCTGCGTGAGCACGGCTTGGGTTGCTCAGGCATCTTTTGGTCTGAGATTGTACAATAAGGAGCCCATGGGAAGCTTCAGGGCTGCATTGGAGATTCCAATGCCCACGTGACCCCTCAGCATGCACGCCCACTCTGTACATCAGCATGTCCTCACATCCCATACTGGTGCACGGCCAGATTGGCCACAGCGGGAGGCAGGGTGCGCAGGGCAGTGGACAGCCTGGCTGGCTGTGTCAGGCCCTGGTTCCTTCCCCAGCGATGTGTGCACACATGCACATGCACACTCACATGAACATACTGTGCACACATGCATACAATGCATACTTCACACACACTTGCACACACATGTGCACATACACACACACACAGAGTCTGCTGATTGTCTCCTGCAGTTTCTGTCCTGACTTGAGAATCAACAATTGTGACCGCCCAGACACCTGAGTCCTCACCCTGAGGACAGCACTGTCACAGCCTCCTGCTGGCTCCGGGAGACCCATGTGGCAATGTCCATTCCAAGCCCCTTGAGGAGCAGGTCTTCTCTGCTCTGTGGCTGCTACTCTTTGATGACAGGGCCACCTTTGTCCCTGGAGCTCTGCACATCTTCCTTAGCATTTTCTCTGTGACCAAGCCTTGAGAAGATACTGATGGGCTTGGGCTCTGGAAGCCTCAGGACTTATGCTCCAGCCTGGTGGCATAGCACCCCTGGGAAGTCACTGGGGTGGGCACCCACTGGGTGAGCCCTTTACAGTGCCCTGGGGCAGGCAGGGCTCAAAGAAGAGGCCAAACCAAGAGCCCAGAGTAAATGCCAGCAGCCTCTGAGTAACCTCAGGGGCACAAAGCAGAGACTTCCCAGCAGAGCGGCAGGAGCGGCTCTCACACTGACATTGGGGTGTCTTCCTAGCAAACTGACCTGGGGCTCTGGGTTGCTTCCTGTTGCCTATTGAGGGGACCCATCAGCCTGGCCAGGAACAGAAGATAGAGAACCGGAACTGGAAGACGGGGCTGTGAAAGCCAGGGCACCCCTGTGCCAGGCCCATGGCTAGAAAGGACGCTATCCCCGCCTGCCCTGGCTCATGGGAGATGACCAAATCTGCCACATAGATCCCGCAACAACAGATCACTTAATGACCTGTTGTTGTTGTTGTTTCTATCTGTATTATTACAAATAACAGGATATCATTATTTTTCATGGTTAAATAGTAGTCTGCTCTGCACATAGTTAACCCTTGTTTTCCCCTCCCTTCTTTAGAGGACTGAGAATTGAGCCTGGGTGGGGTCCTAGCTCTGATATCCCCAGCCCATACTTTCTTTTCTTTTTAAAAATATGAGTGGCGTTGTATATTCTCTTGTGTTGACACTTCAGTGCACACTGTGGGGCACAGGGGGTAGGCACAGGGACTCAGTGCACACACAGTGTCTGAAGCTGCCATCGAGAGAGTGGGCATCTCCATCACTGGGCAGTGATCTCTTTGTCCCCGGGAGCCCTGCACCCCCTTCCATGCCTCATCCGACACCCGCAGATCGCCGGGCCCTGCAGCCTGCGTTCTGCCGAGGCCACGTGTTCTCCGTGTCCGCCCCTCAGGGACACCCGGGCGGTGCTACACCCACCCTCCTGACCAGAGCCACACAGGGTCCACACTCGGCGTCTCCTCGGAGCTAGCACTGTCCCTCTGGGACATCCAGCACATCTGGAGTCTCCAGGTGGTGCCGAGTGCTTTTCTGGTTGTTTCTGAGGCTCCTCTGCTGTTGCCAAAGCATGAGAAGCCCCGGAGCTGGTCTGAAGGGGTGGGGAGGGGCGGGGCAGCTGCCTCTGGGCCGGTGGGGCACAGAGTCCGGCTTTGGACCAGGTTCGTCTGCGCTGACATTGAGACCCAGCTCTCAGGGCTCCGAGTGGCACCACGAACAGCTGGCCTGGGGTTGCCTGGAAGCCACAGTGAGCCCCAAGGAAACCCGAGGAAACCTGAGTCCGAGTCTCTTGGTCACCAGACCCACAGCCCCTGTGGATCCCAGGCGCCTGGAGGAACTGTTTGCTCTCCTAAGTAATCAGCACTTTTGCCAGACAGGATGGTGTTCAGAAATGGAAGCAAGATGCTTACGGCTTTGTCATTCAGAGGTCAGCGCCTCTGAACAGAGCACCTGCCCTTCGTCCCTGGAGGGCCCTACAGGTGGCATTTGTCACCTGAGGGGAGGGACAAATGCCACCCTCAGGCAGGGTACAGACCCAGAGAGTAGGAGCCACCAGAGAGAGGCTGGTGCTGGGGGCCAGTGGGAATGTCCTCTTTCTCCTGGGCGCAGCTTCTGTCCCCTGCTGGTTGTGAGGCAGCTGTGAAGGGGCAGGCAGCCTGCTCCTGCCATCCCTGCTCCTCTCCTTGGCATCCAGGGTCGCATGCTCCTGGGGACAAGCGTAGGACTTGGAACCGAGGTGAAGCGGTGCCCTGCGAGGGGCTTTAAAGGAGCACAGGCCCTGGCATCCAGGGTCAGCGCCTACATCACAGCCGGGTCATGTGATGGTGACAGTGACAGTGTGCCAAGGTGCAGTGCCGAGGGCTGAGACGAGGGCGCCTCCCCGGGCGTTTGGGTGTTCTGGTTCATGCCCACCCCCAGGGAAGCTCTGGGCAGCTGTGGTCTGGGGTGAGCGGACCCCCTGAGCTGCTTCCATGCTTCTGTCACCCAGATGGCCCCAAGCTGGCACATCCAGTCCGCAGGGTCTGTTGCTGCTGCTGTGGAGGACAGCAGGTCTCAGAGCTCCTCCTACTCACACTTAGCCGCCCTATGATGGGCATGGTGGCCACAGAGCTGGGGATGGGGGACGGTTTCATCCACAGACACGTGACTCGGCATTGTTGCCAGACTCTCCCTGGCCTACCGGGAGTTCTGAGTGCCTTGGATGCTCTGTGTCTCACAGGGACACAGGAGCTCTCTCTGGAGCACTTCATCCTCTGTCCTCCATGTGTAAACTCACAAAGATTTAACAGCAGCACATCCCAGCAACGAAGTCAGGGGAGAGGCCCGGATGCTGCACAACAAGTGACTGGACAAAGAAAGTATGGTATCTCCACGTGGTGGAGTACTACCGTGCTGTGAAAAAGATAAGCCTGAGCTATTTGTAAGGAAAATGGATAAATCTTGGCACCCTAATACTAAAGTGAAATAAATCAGACTCAGAAAGTTAAATATTGGGTGGGTTCTCTTCTATGAGGACTTCCAAATGCAAATAATTTGAAGAACAACATAAAAGAGAGATGGTAGGACACAGGGACCCCTTGAACCAGCCCCAAAACATTCTCCTTCCACTCTCCGTAGAAGAATTGGGTTCCAGGACACTGGTCCCGGTGCTGAAAAGGTCGGAGCCACTGGCACAAGAGATGAACTGAGGGAGAACGCGGCACCCTGCCCAAGGGCCCATGGTTCTCGGGTAGCACAGCCACAAGTCTCCAGGGGCTGAGGGCTGCGCCCTCTCTCCCGACTCAGTGGACCAGGCCGGGGTCACATGAGCTGCTGACTGTGGGTGAGGAGACCTGGGCTAGATGCGGCCGCCTTCCCCTCATCTGGGAATCAGTGCACAGGCTCCCAGGCTGCAGACGGGGGAGACCAAAGCGGAGAGAGCACCTTAGCCCCGAGCAGCTGCCATTTGTGGGCCCAGGGCTTCGTGCATCACAGGTGGTCGGGAGGCCTGAGTAAGCCCCAGCCGTGTGGTTTCCCAGCACGGAAGGCTGCAGGAGGCAGGGCCAGCACAGGCCTCCAGGGCGACCCAGCCCCTGGGCCCTCCCTTCTGCTCCTGTCAGAGCTCCCTGCAGGCTGATCCGACCGCAGCTCAGAGGGGACAGGGGGATTCCTAGAGTCTGGGAAAGGCTGTGTTTCCTTTAGGAGCATGAACACAGCCCTCCAGCATGACCACAGCAGTCTCCCTGCTCTCCTGAGGAAGGGGTCGGGGTCCGTGGGAAAGGGATGGCCTGGCTGCTCATGCCTGTTCTCCCTGCAGGGCTGCCTGACCACACCCAGCTCCCCATCCGAGCAGCCTCGCTCCTGGAGTCTGGGGCCAGCCAGGTCCCTGGGCAGCCTCTCGGGAGCCTCGGGGAAGTCGGAGATGAAGAAGCGCCAGGCACCGCCACCTCCAGGCTCAGGGCCGAGGGTCCAGGACAAGACCTCGGAAAAGGTAAGGGCGTCCTGCTCCCGCAGCCCCCTCACTCTGCAGCTCCTCACACTTGGGACCCAGGCAAGAAGTGTGCGGGGCAAGCACCCGAGCTTAGGTGAGAAGCACAGGTGGGGTGGTGCAGCCTCCACTGCTGGAGACAGGAAAGCGCTCAGAACTTCATCCTCAAGATGCGGCTTGCCCAGAGCCAGCTTTCACCTGAGCCCGAGACTGGGGTCACCTGACTGCCTGTGAGAAATCTGCACGGTGGGGGGGAGCAGGTACCTGGAAGACCTGAAGCCCCTGAGGGGGTACAGATTGCAGTAATTTGGGTCCACAGGAAAGCTGAAGCTGTCTTTGCCTGCGAGCTGCTGCTGAATGATCTCAATGTGTTTTGAGCGTTTAAGCGGCCTGCTTTCTCCAGTGTGTTCCCAGAGCCCTTGAATGCCTTTGAAGGCGGCTGAGCCCCCAGCTACTGGCTGGAGTCGTCCAGTGCCCTACCCTTTGGCTGCCTCTCAGGGCTCTCTGCTGATGCCCGGAAGCCTGATTGGAACATGGACCGTTCCTGTCATGGTTTCAACACTCTCAGGCAGCACCATGATTCTGTTTCCGACACTTCCATTACCTGCAGTCAAAGGCAGTCCAAAAACATTTACTATAAAATTCCTGAAACAGTTCATAAATTTTCAGTCCCGTCTCAGTGGTACGGCAGAGGCATGCAGAGGTGGCGGGGTGGCGGGGGTGGCAGGATGGGGTGGCCCAATGCCTTTGCTTCTGAGAACCAGCGCTGCCTAGGTGGGCAGGTCTGTCTGTGACCCACAGAGCAAGGTAAGAATTTCTTGTGCTTCGTGAGCCACTGCACGTCTGACCGCAGCACATCCTGAGCACCAACACCAGGGGGCGCAGCCAGGTCGCCTTTATTGGTGCCAGGACTTTATTTTACTACGGCCTGCTGCCACCCTGTCCCTGGACCTGTCCCTGTGTCACAAACCTTGGGCGCATCCCAGCCATGCTAGCCTTTGAGTTCCAACCTTCCTTCACTTCTTTGTGACACGACTTTTCCTTCAAAAATACCGGAAACTGAGTCCAGGCCTCTCCAGCCTGGGGCTTGGCCCCTGGATCTCCATGAGCAGACACAGCAGCTCTGCTCTGGGCCAGGCCCAGACATCCTCACCATCTCACTGTCCGTCTGCACCTGGACCAAGCTGCTCCAGCTGGCTCTGCTGGCGATCCTCTGATCACCTTTCTCTGTCCACCCAGGAGACCCTAAGCTTCCTGCTTCCTAGACTTTAAGGGTTGTAGACCAAAACTGCTCCCAAGAGCCTCCCGTGTAAGGAAGATGATGGATCCTGGGGCGCTGTGCTCATCTGTGGGCAGGTTCAGGGCTGACTGCTGCAGGAGGTGGGGACTGGCTGGTGGCAGGCCCTGGAGTGGGGCCTGTAAAGGTACATTCTTGTCCCCAGTGCTGCCCTCCACTCTGTGCTTCTCGGTCACTATGCAGTGAGCAGCTCTCCTCTGCCACGCTCTTCCTGCCTTGGACTGAAGCTGTGAGTGCAAATCCACCTCTCCTCCTCTAAGCAGAGGACGTCAGGTCACTGAGACACCATTTTGCCCCATGTCTAGACCTTCCCGTCCAGGCTCCCAGATCTGTCACCAAAGGCTGTAATGCGATGTGTTTTAGAAGAAAACATTTCAGTTTTTGCCTCAAACATTTCATAGCACCACTCATGTGAACTCCCCATGCTGCTACCATTATGCTTTGACAAAAGGAGATCCAGGCCCACGCAGCCCCTGGCTGTGAGGCAGCTTCCCAGGATGGGCCGCAAAGCGTGCCCCTCACGTGCTTGGGTGAGGTCTGAACTTTCCCCTGACCCAGGGACCAGTGCTCCAGCATGGGCTGTTTTCCATGACCTGGCCAGGGGATACTGTTTTGCTTTCGGTTGGGATAGTCTCTCTTCAGTGGTGAAGAGGCTGAATTCCAGGGTCTGTGTTCAGTGAGCTTTCTTTCCAGTGAGATAACATTTACATAAGGTGTAGGACGGAGATGCTGGACTGCACCCGCCTCTTTGGAATGCCCTCTCCCCTGGAAGATGCTGTCGGGCGTCTGAGCCTCTAATGGGCTCACCTGCAGCAGCTGCAGCCTGCTCCCGTGGAGCAGAGCACAGTAAGCAGAGAATTGGGAATTCCAGATGAAAACTAGGCAGTGCGTCAGACTGTAGGTAGGATGCGCAGTGCTCCCGCAGAGGCAGTAAAAGCTTTTCACTGGAACCTGCTTTACCTGGCACAGAATTGGTGGGGAAATCGGCTCACTGAAGTCGGCTCCTTTCCGAAACGCGTGACGGGGTGGGGGGCACCGTGGGTGGAAGGGTTTGCTGGGGCCACACCTTTTCTTTTTTTTTTTTTTTTTTGTAAGTGAAAGGTATTTTGTGAACCTCCTTCCATTTACAGATAAGGTGTTTGTTTGGTAGACCTTATTAATATGCAGCTGTTCCTAGCACAGACATCCTGAGTGAAGAGAGGTTTATTTTTAAGAACGGGACTCATTTGTAAGAAAAGGAGCAACCCTGTGTGTTCTCAAAGATGTATTTCCTTCTCCAATGGGTAGAAAAATTTAGTAATCACTTAGTGAAGGTGGGTTAACTTTAGCCATCTTCCAGTTTACCTGAAGGTTAAAGAAAAATGTAATATTTATATAGATATTTGTTACCTGATTATGTGCACATAATTTTATCACTAGTGTTTATTATTTCAAAGAGAATCCCCCAGCGTTGTGAGAGCCTGGAAATTCCCCATGGGTTCCAGTGACATGCTGTTTGCAGGGCTGTAGGTGGGCCAGGGTGGCCGCAGGCTCAGGAGTGTGGAGGGGCGCCTTCTGCGGACTCACAGCTGCCTGGGCGTTCGACACCGTCCACACACCGTCCACACCCAGGTGCCGGACGCTGAGTATTTTCCTTTGTCACTCTTTTTTTCTTCCCTGTATTGGTGATTGAACCCGGAGCCTTCACACTGAGCTACATGCCCAGCCTTTAATTTATTTTTATTTGTATCTGACCATAGGGTCTCACTAAACTGCCCGGGCCAGGCTTGAATTTATGATCCTCCTGCCTCAACCTCCCAGAGTGCTGGAATGGTGGACGTGTGCCGCTCCGCCCAGCCGCCCTTTTCTATGGGGGCCATCGGCCCGTGTGAATTCCGGTGTCTTCGGAGGTCTGAGACACCGACCCCTCGGGTTCTGAGCGCCATAGTACAGCTTACACTGGGGGAAGCTGCAGCCCAAACTTCTGTATGCACGTCCAGAAGTCAATCTTGCTTTTCATGGGGGCTCCAGATGCTCACTGGGGTCTCAGACACCTTCCCCCGCCCCAGGCTGCGCAGTTGTCCCAGCTCTGGGCCCTGACCGCACCTGGGGTCCCTGGGTAGCACGCACGGGCACGCGGGGTCCCCTCAAGCCGCAGTCCCGGCCCCCCATTGCTCCCCACCCTCCATCCCCCGCTTCTCTCTGGCATCTTATGCAGCCCAGCCCAGGTTTGCGTCCGCTGCTTTCTGCGTGTCCCGATCAGTGCCCTTCCCTGGGATTCGCCTCCCAGTGCTGCTTGGCCGCGTGCGCACCTTTCTTCCGAGCCACGCGTTTGTCTCGGCGTGCAGATGCATGTGTGTGTGCGTGCGCGTGCGTGTGGGTGCATGCGCATGCGTGTGGGCGCATGCGTGTGCATCCCACCTCTGTTGCCATTGGTAATACCCTCCCCAAATTTGCTCTAGGTAACTCGGGGAGTTGCCCATTGTGACGTCCCTTGTTCCACTGAGGTGGGGAAACTGAGTTCCAGGCCACACGGAGCTGCATGGGGAGGTGACCTTGGAGCAGGTCCCCTCGGACCAGGCAGAGGCCTGTCCCTTCCTCTCTACTCACTGAGTCACACAGCTTTGTGTTTGGAAATAGCCAGGGCGCCGCCAGGAGCTGGCCCTACGAAGGTCAGGAGTGCGCCCGGGAAAGCCCTGCTCACCTGCGTAACGGTGGCTTTTCGATGAATATTTTTGACCTAGAGTTATTGAACCACAAATGTGAAACCCATGACTCTGGGGACAGCTGTATATTAGCTGAGAAAGTAAAGATTCACTGGGGACAGGAGCTACCTTCAGATGTTTACATTCCAGTCCTGCAGGCTCTGAGGATGTGGTGTTTGTTAAATATAAGAGAATTTTCCAGCTGGGTGTGGAGAGGCACACCTGTAAGCCCAGCATTCTGGGAGGCTGAGGCAGCATTTTGGGAGGCGGAGGCAAGAGGACCACAAGTTTGATCCCAGCCTAGAAAACATAACATTTAGCAAGATTTTGTCTCAAAATTAAAAATTAAAAAATGTCTGGAGATACAGCTCAGTTCAAAGGCCCTGGGCTCAATCCCCAGGATAGCAAAAAGAAAGAATTTTTAGTAAATAAGCCAAACTAGTGCAAAATAGTTCAATTACTTGGATTTGCGTTAATTCCCTTTGGAACTAAGTAGCCACGCATAGGTTTTGCTTGCCAGCTGAAATGGGAAGTGGAACCCGGGCTTTCCCTGCGCGCTGGTGCCCCAAGTCCCGGAGCAGCTGGGAGGCCGGGCTCTGTGCTGCAGTCACAGGCTGCAGGAGCTGCTGTTCAGTGTCCCTCAAGTTCTCCGATCTGGTCCTCTTTGTCACAGAGGCTCTGCCCGTCCACCTCCTCCCTGGTCACAGGGCTTGAGCTGGAATCTCCATTCCGTCGTTTCCCCTGCCTTGGCATCCTGCCCTTATTTGTTTGTTTATCCCAGGGATTTTTGAGGCGGGTGCTCACTGTGTGCTTCAGGCTCCCCCTGAACTCACCATGCATCCCACATTGGTCTCACAACATGCAGGGATCCCCCTCCCTCGGCCTCCTAAGTGCTGGGACGACAGCGTGCATGCCTCATTATGTCCCAGTGGTTTCACAGCGTCACCTTGATGGAAGCTGGAGAAGTGGATTTAAAGATAAGGCCGCGTTTTCAGCTTTTGATGAAAAATATCCCAGCTCCT